TTAGCTTCTGTCATGTTATTTTTAGCTTCTGTGGTGCTGGTTTTAGCTTCTGTCAAGCTAGTTTTAGCCTCTGTTATTTTTTTAGCTCCTGTTAACCAATTTAACTGCCGATTTAAAGCAGTCTGCTCCTCAGATAAATGTAAAATTATTATTTTTATATATGAATGTTTCTGTTCAGTGCCCTGAGACGACCTCTGTTGTGACTTGGAGCTGTATAAATAAACTGAACTGAATTATTTCAGCTACTCAGAAACTTGAATCCCGTTTCAGCAGAATTGATCAGCTGATTCGAGCCTCAGTATTTCCATGTGTTTAGCAGAAAATGCACTTCTTTCTAAAGAAATGTTCTTTGGTCTCTGTCGTGCCAGAAGCCGTCCACAGCTGAAGCAACAGTCGGTCACTCTTGTGTTTTAAAAACAGATGGCAGTGGATCAGGCGCAGCTGCAGAACCTCAGCTCCATGTTCCTGCCAGCTGTTGAATCTGTCAACCCGTGTCTCATCCTCATCGTTCGGAGGGAAAACATCGTCGGAGACACGATGGAAGTCCTCAGGAAATCAAAGAACGTGGACTGCAAGAAACCACTCAAGGTGAACGTCATCAAAAACAACTACCGTAAATAACGCACCGACGAGTTCAGCTCTGAACCGTCCCGTTTGATCCCAAAATGGCCGATTATCGTCATGCAGGTGGTTTTCGTGGGAGAAGATGCTGTTGATGCAGGAGGTGTGAGAAAAGAGTTCTTCCTCCTGATCATGAAGGAGCTGCTGGATCCTAAATACGGGATGTTTCGGTACTACGAGGAATCCAGGCTCATCTGGTTTTCACACAAGGTACGCTCCGATTTGAACCCCCCAGCAACAAGGACTCTGGAAACTCCTAGCCCTACATCGCTGCCACCTTTTTGATCAGTCACTGGTTGTTGGTTGCAGACGTTTGAGGACTTCGACTTGTTTAACCTCATCGGGGTCATCTGTGGTCTGGCCATCTACAATCTCACCATCGTGGAGCTCAACTTCCCGCTGGCTCTTTACAAAAAGCTGCTGAAGAAGAAACCAACACTCGACGACCTGAAGGAGCTGATGCCGGACGTGGGCAGGTCAGAGTTCAGACATTTCTTTGGACGGTGTTAGATCTTGTTCTCTTGATAACTTGGGAGATATTCTGTTTTTCAACCAGGAGTCTGCAGCATCTACTAGACTACCCAGAAGACGACGTTGAGGAAACCTTCTGTTTGAATTTTACTGTACGTTAAACTTCAGTCTGTTTTCTGCGATGAATTTAGTGTAATAACCGGTCCTTCATGTTGGCAAAATAAAAAAGGAGGTTTGGTTGACCTTTTTTTTAGGTCACAGAGGACAACTATGGTGCCACCGAGGTGTTGGAACTGGTACCGAACGGCGAGAAAATCAACGTCAACAAATCAAACCGGTAAGAACTTCTGTCTCCTCGCTTACATGCTGATACGGTTCGTTGCAGCCGAACAACTTCATCCTGTCGTTTCAGCTCACTTTGACTTTTCTTCCAGGCAGGACTTCGTCAGCGCCTACGTAGACTACGTGTTTGACTCGTCAGTAGCTCTGCTGTTTGAGGGCTTCTACACGGGCTTCCACAAAGTGTGCGGTGGGAAGGTTTTAGATCTGTTCCAGCCAAGTGAGCTGCAAGCCATGATCATTGGCAACACCAACTATGACTGGACAGAGCTTGAAAAGGTTAGTTTTAGATACTGATTCCAACTTAACGTGCCCCCCCCCCCCCCCCCCCAAATAAATAAAATAAAATAAAAAATCGCCCTGTTTGCAGAAAGAGAACAAATTCCGTCCACCTACAACCAACCAGACTTTCAGGCTGAACGATAACACCGCCGCCACTGGTGTTTGCGTAACACGGATCACCTATGAGTGTCAACCCGTCTATTAATCAAACATGAGTGGCTTATGGATTTTGTGGATGATACAGTTAGAGCCCCAATGATATATCGTTATGCCCGATATATCGTTATGCCCGATATATCGTTATGCCTGACATATCATTATGCCAGACATATCGTTATGCCTGATCTATCGTTATGCCTGATATATCGGTCCCACCGATAAATTGTTAGGCTTGATATGTCGGTGGGACCGATATATTGGTAGAACCAATATTTTAGATCGATATAGGCCTTTGGGGACCTATCGATATCAGTGATAATCGTCCCATTATTCGCCGATATAAACACTTCTAATTTTCACCCTTAAAATGCTGGAACCAGTCGTAATTGTACAATGCATCCAGCAGAGGGCGCATGAAGACTACTTTCAAGTTATGGCCGTTCATTTAGGTTTCACTTTCAGCGCAGCCGAAGCAGCGAGCAATAATATGTAGCGTAATTGGCTGAACGGAGCATGATAAGTTTATTTTAACTGATCTGTAAAAAAAATAACAACGATAAATTCTCTTCAATCCTCCAACCTGCTTATCATTACCAACGTGCCTCTCAAGTTAGAAAGCTAACGTTTAGATAACCTAGCATAGGTTCTGACACTTACTGTCACTTTTAATAGCACACTATCACTTCTCATAAATGTGCCAGAACTCCGGTTTACCGACTGTAAGCTACGGATGGTTCATATAAACTGCATCACCCACAGACATCGGTTGAAACAGGAAGTCGTGACCCGCTCTGTACCGCTTCTGAATAGATCAAACGTAGGGCATCAGGTGTCACATGACTGCAGACTGTGTTGTCCTTGTTGCTATAAGGAAACAGGGAATTGGTCTGTAATTTAAGTCTCGGCTAAATAAAATGTGGAGGTTAAACAGCAGAGCAACACATCTGGTCTTTTGTTTCTCTATGAAGCTCCGCCTCCTTTTTGGGTAACAACCTTTTGATATTGAGATCATGACATCTTATGCCATAAACTCTCTTCTTGTTTTCTCAGACCACACTATTGGTTGGTTTTCTAATTATCTCTCAGGCCGAAAGCAAAGTGTTCAACACAATGATTCTTCTAGTTATTTAACTGTCAATAATGGTATACCACAAGGCTCAGTCTTAGAACCCACTCTTTACAATCTACAGGTCAGAATATTCCTGACGCATCCTTGCATTTCTATGCCGATGATGCAGTTGTTTATTGTCAAGCTAAAACAGTTTCTAAGTTTTTCCAGCTTCTACAATCTGCATTTAATGTCATCCAGTCAGATTTGTTCCGTCTCAAACGGGTGCTACATGCTGATAAAACCAAAGGGATGTTGTTTTCAAACAGGAAGCTGGTAGCAGTCTTTCCTCCTATCTAATCTATGAATGGTGTTCCTGTTGAGTTTGTGGATTCTTACAAATACTTGGGAATGTTGGTCGTCTGAAACAGGTGAAATAAAGTTTGGTTTGTTCTCTGCAGGAGACTGAGTATAAAGGGGAGTACTGGGCTGAGCATCCGACCATAAAGCTCTTCTGGGAGGTGTTCCACGGTCTCCCGTTGGAGAAGAAAAAGCAGTTTCTCTGTAAGTGTGGATGAACGACGAACGGGACGCAGGTTCGAACAGATGGACTGATTTTAGTGGTTTCTGTCCGCAGTGTTCCTCACAGGAAGCGACCGCATACCGATCCTGGGCATGAAGAGTCTGAAGCTGGTGATCCAGCCCACAAGTGGAGGGCAGCACTACCTCCCCGTCGCCCACACCTGCTTCAATCTGCTCGACCTTCCTAAGTACACGAGCGTAGAGACGCTCCGCGAGAAACTTTTACAGGCGATAGATCACAATCAAGGCTTCAACCTGGCCTGACGGAGGACCTCCCAAATGTTCCTAAAAACTGAACACTGGGTGAGGAGAGGAGTTTATAGTACTCTTGAAATTAAGATAAATGTTAATTTATTCTTTTTTTCTATTCCAAGTATGACAAAGCAAAGCAAGAGAGCACCAACTGATTGCTTGCGAGACACAACACTACCCTTTGACAATTAAAATCAAACTTCCTGTTCGGATGGTTTTCTGTAAGGACGTTACTTCAGCAGCTTCTCAACAAGCTGCAGTCTGTTACTGTGAGTTGCGCTCGAACACCCAACAAGTATTTAAATCTTTAAATGTGAACAGGTTCTGGTGTTTCGGTTGAGAGACGCTGGGAAACATCGGTAAGACTTAAAACGATCAAATAAAAATAAAGTTCAGCCTCTGAGGAAAGGTTTGTTTGAGAGGGGTTAGTTTTTCAGAGAAGTTACGAAGGTCCAAAAAGATGCTTAATGTCCTGGACGATGATCAGAAACCACCAAGAATCTTCCATCTGGTTTATTTTGGTTCATGGTCAAGTGCACAGACCCAACAGGTTCAGGAGGGGACCCAGAGACGCTGTCCAGGTCTTCCTGAGGAAACCTGGGGTGTTCTTAGGCCAAATAGGATTTTCAAGAGGTCTCCTGGTGGGACACGTCTGGAAAACCTCCACAAGATGTGTCCTATCAGAGGTCTAAACCACCTCAGCTGACTCCGGTGAGTGAGGAGGCTCTACTCCAAGACTGACCACCCATCCAGGATCTGGTTCTTTAGGAAATGATCCAGACCTCATGACCAGAAGAACCAACCATTCTGTTCCCTTTGCCCCACAATCATCCAGCCATCTTCTGAGGTACCAGTAGTCCACTCAGCATTCACCTCCAACAGAACACAGGAGGACATGATCCAGATCAAGAGAATCAACCATCGGAACAGTCCAGCAAAAAGTGCCCCCTATGGTCTGGAGACCCGGTCCATAAAGGAGTTCCTGAACAAGGCAACAGACTTCATTGAGGAGCAGAGTTCAGAACAAGAACCAGAACGAGACCATTGATCCCCTCGGCTCTGACAGCAGGGAGCGAGCTGTCCTGCCTCTGGAGGTGGAGAGACCTGACCCAGTCCCAGGTCCAGCAGGACCAGATTCACGTAGACTCTGAGGCAGATCAGGCTGGAAGTCCACATCAAGCAGAACCTGCATGCGAGCCTCCACTTTTCATCCAGGAACTGAACCAAGGTCCGGCTAGACTACATTAAGGGACATCATCCGGTGCTGGAAGTCCGGTAAGTTGAGACGGGTTCAGGTGCGACGATTCAGAATTCACTTTTGTTTCCTGTTTGATTTCTTCTGTACGTTGAAATAAAACTTCTTCTGCATACTTTGTGCCGTTTTAACCTTTTATTCATCAAACTGTTCGGCTCGATCCAGAATATCGGGCCATAAATTTTAGCGTTTGTTATTAAAATACTTCAACACAGCAGTCCCTCGACACTTTGCGCTTCAACTTTCACGAGATTTCAACGCAAGATTGTACACGTCGTTTCCCGGTGGCCTGGTTGCTCAACGATCGTCGAGGGGTTCCTTTCTCTTTCTGAGGCTGTCAAGACTCCAAGAGAAAGGAGGGGGCGGGGCCTGTCTGTCCCCATCGCTGCTGTGAGAGCTTCAGTGAGCAGCATGGACTGTATTTTTTCATTTAGCCTTTATTTATACAGGTGGTCTCATTGAGCCACGAGAACTCGTTTTCAAGAGACCCGTTTAGGGAGAAGATGGTGGGGGTTAAGGGCCTTGCTCAGGGGCTCTGAGTGGGGTGAATGATGGTGGAGGGAGGTGTGGGTGTTCCACATTTTCAAGTTGAACCTGCAACTTTCCGATCACAGGCCCATCTTCTAACCTCTGCGCCACCACTCCCCCAAGCGTGAACCGAGCCGGGACATTTCCTGACTTGGGAAATGCTCCCGATGCCAGTCCACCCCCAGGTGCCGATTGGCTCCCACGATAAGTGAGGGACTACTGTATCCGCCCCTCCAGAGCACACCAGCTTTGATTTTGTCGTCCTATGCTACAGTTAGCTTTTAGCCACAGCTTAGCTTATTTTTTGCTTTTATCTTAGAAGCTAAAATGATCAGAATCAAACTATTTAAGCTGCGCTTTAATGTAGGTCTTGAGCAATGGTAGGGAGAGGGAGGTCTGGAGTTCTCTTCTGGACCTGTTCTGGTCCAGAAGAGAATGTTTGAAGTGAGCGAGCAGATGTTGGTTTTTAAAGACGAGGACACAAAAAAGACCAATTAAATCGTTTTGTTTTTCTTTCTAGCATTTGGTGCATAAAACTGTGAGCGGAGTTCAGCTGCAATGATGTGAGTAATCACATTTCAATAAACATGACCCCCCCCCCCCGCTACAGACCACCATCCGGACGGCTCAGTTTAATCCACATTTAATGACCGTACATGTTCAAAGACTCGTGGAGGAGAACGTCTTCAGACGCCGACGTCCGTCTTTAGTGGGGCAGCTCGTGGTGGACCAGCTTGTAGAGGGACCCACAGGAAGGACAGCGCTGAGTGTGTCCCTCGTGAACCCAGGACCACACGATCGCAGTGCTGTCTTCCTCACCTGCAGTGAAAGTTCTGATTTGTGATTTTATCAGTTAAAAAAGGAGACGAGATGTCAGAACCAGCCCGGAGAGCAGAACCTACACAGACAGCCCACCAGCCGCTTGTTCCCGATGCGAGGGTCCTCCTTGGTACCGGCGTATAGTTTGGGCTTCTGGATGCTGTACGGATCCTGGAAGGTTGACGTTGACTAGTTGAATAAACCTTCACGCTATTGTTTCACAACAAATTCTACGGTAATTTACAAACGCAGCAGCAGAAGCAACTCTGATGCAGCCTGGGAACTTTTCCAGCAGGAATTTTATGAAACGTTAAACCGACGTCGGTGGAAAGGTTTTTAAAAACTATGAAGACGTTAGATTCCACCTTGGGCGAGCCGTCGTTAGCTCGTCGACCTTGTCCAACCTGGAAGTGCTACAGCTAGCTGCTATCCAAGCACGCAACGTGAAACTGACGGGTTTAAGAACAGTTTCACCGTGAAATGCTGTCGATCTTAGTCTGGAGTTGTTACGCCCCGTCCACACGGGGGAGTACGAAAAACGTTCTCTGGTTTCAGCCGTGCGTTCACGTGGAAACTAACGGTAACTTTTCAAACTAGGTTCGACCTAAACGCAAACTTTTACAAACAGGACGAAGCAGATGAAGACGATGGATGGACCTCACAAATCGGAATAAAATAACCTTTGACCCCACGCGATAAAAACTGAAAAATGGACAAGTTTTAAAACTCTGTAAACAAAAGTTTTACTTAATACTTGAACAATGTGGAAAAGCCCCGCCCCTCTAGGGGTTGGAGAGTCGATTCGAGGACATCTCGTGAGTTTTTAATTTTCACGTCGACTAGTCGCAGTCAGTGACTGTGACACGTGTCAAGTGATCAGCGCCGGGCCGCTGGCTACAAAACGGACTCTTCCAAGCAGATGGAGGCGAGGAGCAGGCCGAGTCGTGCCAAACGGGTAGAAATTCATCAACAGCGTGGAAGTATTTCACTAAAGATGATGTTTCCAGTTTTATCCACGGTGGAGAAGTGGGCGTGGCAGAGACACGCTGTGCTCTTATAGCGTTTAAAGGGTTCTGTGTGCTCAGATGTTCACTCGTCTCTTTCCCCTTGGGTTCACAGGTCGGAGCGTCTGCTCCATGTCGCTTCCTGCGGCGCCACCTGCACAATCGGCATCGTTACTACAACGTTTTGGGTCGTTTTCCCCGAGTTTCCGTGTGGATGAAAACCGTTTTTGTGCAGCTGTGGTCCTGGCTGTGTTCAAACCTCTATCCACAGCAGGTTAGATATTAACTCAGAAGCCCATTTCAGCTGAACCATATAGACTGCAGCTCACCTTTCCCTGCTTGAGGGCCTGCAGGGTCGCTCCAGTCCCGTGGCCTGTTCTTCATCTGTAGGGATCCCTGCGAACACAGAACAGGTGTTTTACACCTGCTTCACTTTCACAAAAAGCTGAATGTTGACAGGGAAGGCCAATAAAAGAGGACTCTGTCACATGACTCCTTCCCTACAAAGATACTGGCACCAGCCCAGATCAGGAGGTGGTTCTGAAGGTCCAAATGACCGTCATTTCTGTCAACCCCAGCCCTGCTTACTTGGCTTAGTGAGTTTAAACACACAAAACACGTCACAAGAATATTTAACACCTAAAACTAAACAGCAGGTGTTTAATTAAACAACATGTAGGGTCTGGGTTGTTTAAACCCGCTGCCGAACATGCTAGCAGGTCAGCGCTGTCTTATTTATTCATTCAACCTTTATTTATACAGGTAAATCCCATTGAGCCTCGAGGACTCATTTACAAGAGAGACCTGATTTAACAAAGAAAGATGACAACAATGGACAACAGCGACAACAATAAACAGTTATAAAAAGTCATACTGCAGGTTTTTTTTTTGTTTGTTAGTTTTTTTTACAAATAGGATGGCTAAAAGAAAAGTAACAAAAAACAGCTAGATCATAAGGCGAATGTAGAAAACTAACAACAGGAACATGTCTGCATTGGTCCCTGACAGGAGTCCAACAGATTCTTAAAGACAGAGAGGTCAAAGGTCGAGAGCTTCAGATCTTTTTGCAAGATATTACAGGAAACAGGAGCGGAGTAGGAGAAGGTCCTTTTGCCTAGTTCAGTCCTCACTGAGGGAACACTGCAGGTAATAATGTCCTGAGAGCGCACGCTGTAGCTGTAGGAGGAGATGTATGAAGGCAACAGACCAAGAAGTGATTTAAAGATGTACCAGTGGGAGAGTCTGTGTGAAGTTAATGGTGACCAGTTAACCAGTGAATACTGGGTGCAGTGGTGGGTACAATAATCACAGCCAGTTATGAATCTTAGTGCACCATGATAGACAGCATCCAACATCTGCAGCATCCAACATCTGCAGGGTTCTTGTAGGAGTGTTCATGTAAATAATGTCACCATAATGTCACCATAACCATAACCTGTTTTTAGTTTTATACATTTGTCTTGGAATCTAGCTGTTTTTTTGGTTTTGTTACTTTTTTCCTTTTAGCCATCCTATTTGTTAAAAAAAAAAAAAAAAAAAAAAACTGTAGTATGAGTTTTTTATAACTGCTTATTGTTGTTGCTGTTGTCCATTGTTGTCATCTTTCTTTGTTGAAATCAGGTCTCTCTTGTAAATGAGTCCTCGAGGCTCAATGGGATTTACCTGTATAAATAAAGGTTGATTGATAATCAATGGAGGGAAGGAAAGTCACAGATACAAGGTGTTTCCTAACATTCAGGGTTAGACAGGATCTGTTTCTGAAAAAGAAACCCAGTTTAACTTTCAGTTTCTTTACCAAGTTTTCCACATGGAGCTTAAAAGAGAGATGTGAGTCGACCAAGATACCCAAATATTTATAGGAATCAACAAACTCAATGGGGACACCATTTGAGGATAAAATCGGAGGAAGAACTGCTGGGACCAACTTCCAGTTTGAAAAAAGCATCCCTTTGGTTTTGTCGGCATTTAGGACAAGTTTGAGGCGAAACAAATCAGTCTGGATGATGTTGAATGCAGATTTCAAAAGCTGGAAAGCCTTAGCAACAGTTTTAGCTCGACAATAAACAACTGTGTCGTCAGCATAGAAATGTATGGATGCATTAGGGATGTTTTGACCTACATTGTGTATGTAGATTGTAAAGAGGGTGGGTCCTAAGACTGAGCCTTGTGGTACACCATTGTTGACTGTTAAATAACTGGAGGAAGTACCATTATGTTGAACACATTGCCTCCGGTCTGAAAGATAGTTAGAGAACCAACCAATGGTGTGTTCTGAGAAACTGATTTCTGAGAGTTTATGACACAAGATGTTCTGATCCACGGTGTCAGAATCTTTGGACAGGTCTAAGAAAAGTGCAGCACAATAATCCTTAGCATCCAGTGCTTCAACATCATTAAGAACCTTCAGTGAAGCAGTGGTTGTGCTGTGTTGTTTCCTGATTCATGCCGATACAGCTTTTTAATTTATTTATTTCTCCTTGGTTTGACCTTTCACCTCGGTTATAAACACGTGGTTCATTCCTCCTGCTGAAGACATGGCGCGGTGTAAAGGTCTGACCGCCACATTTCCTCTCCGTCCAGGCTCGGAGAAGAAGCCGTCCGGCCATTTCTCTCGAGTGTTTTCAACACGAGCTGCGGCGCGCGCTGAAATGAACTGAAAGCTGCCGCCTGAGTGGCAGACCATCCGACCAATCAGAGCGAGGCTTGTGGTCATGACGGCCAATAGGGTTTAAGTAAGGGCGGGACAACAGGATGTATATTAAACCTCACCGGCTGTTTATCTAACGTTAAATATGTTTCAGTTAGGCTAATTAAAAAATTATGCACCCATAATACATAATCACATTTTATATTTAAATTGAGTTAACATCATAGTGGCTGCTTTCTGCTCCTCTCCTGGTTTGTCTGCTCATAAATCTCTCTGTTAGCAAAATATCTAATGAGCCACTGGACAGAATGTATGGACCTCTCAGGAAGACTTGAGAAAATTAAAATAAAACTTTATTCAAGTAAATGACAAGTATACAGTAATTAAATGAATGGCGTCTACAGAAGAACAGAACACGTACATGAACAATTTGCAAAGATTTATATAGAGATTGTCCCGAGAGCCTTTTTGTTGCTAGAGTCTGTTATTATTTAATATATAGTTCCACATCCTTAATAAAATGAAGAAAACATGGCGTTTTAATAATTTTACATTTATGTATGTAAAAAAATCAGCTCTCTCTTGTAAACGAGTCCTCTAGGCTCAATGGGATTTACCTGTCTAAATAAAGGTTGAATGAATGAATGAATGAAAAATAACTATTGGGGGGGGGAGGGGGGGTCATCCAGACCTTCCAGGAAGACTTCTGCAGATGTTTATCTGCAGCTGATCAATCCAAATCAAGATGGCCTCCACAGCTAAAGACACTGCTGCCTTCAGCTCCTTTCATTTTTTTCAGCTCCTTTCTGCTAAATTCAGCCTTTTTTCTGTGATTATTTTTAAGATTTTGGCCTTTTGTGCCACTTTCTATTGAAAATTCCAACATTTTCTGCTCCTTTCTGCTGTTTTTCTGCAAATTTATTTATTTTCAGCTTTTTTCCGTGACTAAATTTAACTTGTTTCAGCTGAATTTAGCTTTTTTTTTCTTCTGTGTACCAATTTTGGCCTTTTGCACATCAATATCAAATTCAACTTTTTATGCTCCTTTCAGCATCTATATGCTCAGTTCAGCTTCTTTCAGCTACTTTTCTGTTACTGCAATTTAAACGTTAGTGCTCTTTTGTGCCAACTTCAGCCTTTTCAGCTACATTGTTGCTAATTTGAGAGTTTTGCCCCTTTCAGCTGCTACATTTCTGCTCTTTTTATCTTATTCTGCACATTTCTGCTGCTGTCGGCTTTTATCTTCCTGCTTTCTGCAAATGTCAGCAGTTCAAGTTCAACTCTCAGTAACAGTTTAGTGATGAAACCTTTTCAGCTTCTTCTGCAGATTTCAGCAGAAATCATTCAGCGAAGCGTTCACGCCAATTCCACAGGAAATTACGGTTCTTTAGTTTGTTCTGCTGTTTTGACTGAAATGACCTAAAATCTACTTTTAGATGAGGAGTTGTTTGTACCGTAGCTGGGGAGGCCGAGTGCCTTTTAATCACTATTAGTCGGTACTCATGTCTAATTTATGATCTTTATTAATGTCACAGCAACAAACAACAACCACCTGATTTCAACATGCAGCTCAAAACGTTTAACACAAAATGTTTATCTTCACTCTGCATCGTTGAATCTGATAAACAGCGATCACAGAAACAACAGAATAGTTTTTACGCCTACATCAGACACATCTACAGATTGTCAGCCCACTAGTTTTAAACGTAGACGTGTAGCTAACGAACAAACACAAACAATAACAAGCACCGCGTCGTTAAACGGCCACAGCACGAACCGTTCAAAGGAATTTAATCTTTCACGACTTCATATTTCGTAGTTCCTGAACTTCTGCAGCAGACGGGATGGAGCGTCTGCAGCCCAACGGAAACGTCGATGGAGGTAATCGCCTGCGACAAGAAGATTAAAAAAAATCTGAGATTATTAACAACACAAAAAAAAGTGAAATTATTTAATAACTCTGCAAAATAACATCCGTTTTTTTTTAATGACTCGTTTGTTTGGTCCAAAATACGTTGTAGGTGGAACTATTGCTTAGACGTTGCTGCAGCTGGGACTTGTTTTTGTGTTGCACATATGGAGTTTCCATGGCAACAACAGGTGCGTCTAAAAAACTAGCATATCGTTAAAATGTTTTTTGTTTTCTCAGTCACTTCAGGAAGTGAAACTCAAACAAGGATTCTGTGAAATGAATCCATGTGGGCGGCTGTGGCGCAGTGGCAGGGCAGCCGACTTGGGACCAGAAAGTCACAGGTTCAACTCCCTGCCATGCCCACATATCGGTGTCTTTGAGCAAGACACCTAATCCCTAACTGCTCCCCGGGCACCTACATAGCTGTCCACTGCTCCACCTGTGTGTATCTCACATGTGATGTGCAGAGAATTAATTTCATCACTGTGTGGGAACATACAACTATGACAACACTTTCACTGTTTGTTTGCTTCCTGTCTTCTCCAATTCCAGCCAGTTGAGGCTGACGGTGGCCGTCCTGAGCCTAGTTCTGCTCCTGCAGGAGGATTCTTGATGTTTAAAGGGAGTTTTTCCTTCCCACTGTCTCCACAGGATGGATGCTGCGACAAAGTGAAGATTTAATCTGCAGCTTCCTCAGTTAAAGACCTTTTACTAATTGTAAAATTAGTACAATTGTTGTTTGTTTGTTTGTTTAAAACTGGTCTCTCTTGTAAATGAGTCCTCGTGACTCAGTGAGACTAACCCGTATAACTAAAGGTTGAATGAACGAATGAAAATTGTCATTTCGTAACGTTTATGGAGGTTTTCGTGTCGGGAGACGACTTTTGTTGTGAACTGCTGCCGGATAAATAAACTGAAGTGAAAGTACTTTTGCTCTGTTCGTGTAGTTTTGGCGTCTTTCTCGCGTGTTGCTCTTCTTGTATCTGCTGATTCTTTAAGAACATTTTGAAATGGACCCTGTATTGTGAAATTCTTTATCAAAAGGGCTCGTGAAACGGTCGGCAC